CGGGCGACGCTGCCGCCGCGGGAATGGGTCGGCTGCGGGGAGGCCGCTGGCCGGGCCTTGTGGGGGAAGTTTGCGGTGGTCCATGGGGGAGGCCGTGGGCCCCGCCGGGTGCCGCTACTGTGTGCTCTGCCCAGCGGGAGGGCGGCAGGGAGGGAGGCATCCATTCCCCCGGGGGCGGCTGAGAAGCAGAGCAGGCCCCACTACCGATGTGATGGTCTGTATCTCTGGTGTGTGTCATTTCCAGCTGACTGGTAAAGATGGAGAAGGGGAGAGGAGGAGGAGGTGGAGGAGGAGGAAGGAGCCTGGGAGGCTCCGGCCTGCACAGGAGTGTGTACTCCCAGTCTCAGCAGCAGTATCAGTACTCAGCCTCCTCTCCAGGGGGCTGTATGGAGATCCAGGAGCTGGCCTCCAAGAGGGTGGACATCCAGAAAAAGCGATTTTACCTGGATGTGAAGCAGAGCTCCCGAGGGCGCTTCCTGAAGATAGCGGAGGTCTGGATAGGAAGGGGCAGGCAAGACAACATCAGGAAAAGTAAACTGACTCTCTCCTTGTCCGTGGCAGCTGAGCTGAAGGATTGCCTGGGCAATTTCATTGAACACTATGCCCATTTGGGTCTAAAAGGCAGCCATAGTCATAGACATGAGCACAGTAATGGCAAAGAGCAGGATCTGAGGAGGCGGCAACCACATCATCCACCTTCCCCTCCTGCATCTGTTGGATCTGAAGAACATCCCCATAGTGTCCTGAAAACTGAGTACATAGAAAGAGACAACAGAAAATATTACTTAGATCTAAAGGAGAATCAGCGTGGGCGCTTCTTAAGGATTAGACAAACCATGATCAGAGGACCTGGCATGATAGGCTATTTTGGCCACAGTTTGGGACAGGAGCAGACTATTGTCCTTCCGGCGCAAGGGATGATTGAATTCAGGGATGCTTTGGTCCAGCTAATTGAAGAGTATGGTGAGGGGGATATAGAAGAACGAAGAAGTGGGGGTGATGAGCCCCCTGAACTTCCAGAGGGGACTTCCTTCAGGGTGGACAACAAGCGATTCTATTTTGATGTGGGATCCAACAGGTATGGCATTTTTTTGAAGGTAAGTGAGGTGAGACCACCTTACCGTAACACCATCACTGTCCCTTACAAAGCATGGACAAGGTTTGGGGAAAATTTTATCAAGTATGAAGAAGAGATGAGGAGAATTTACAACAGCCATAAGGAAAAAAGAATGGATGTCAGAGGGGACAGTGGTGAAGAGCAAGAGGGTCTCGAGTAGAGTGCATTGAATGCATTTCAACTGGCCGAAAGGCAATACAGAAAACTATAAATTGGCTATAGAGGTACTGATGTGTAATAGTTTGAAGAAGTCTCTCTTCTTTTTCGTAAGTCCTTTCCCATTTATTAGTAATAACTCCAATACATACTTCAGGAGTCTGGTTATCACATTAAATTATACCCAACACATCTCTGAAATTCTTATGGGAATACCAGCCTCCAAAATCTATGAGTCAGCTGCTTCAGTTGTCGAAGACTATGGAAGTATGCATATCAGCACAAAAATCTGACATTCTGACCTTTATATAGTCTAGGTAAGGCTTGTGTTGCAGTAGAACATGATACAAAAAAGCCCAACAAAACAAAACAAATGCATCTTAGGCTGAAAAGTATCAGTTCCTGCTTATGACAGGTTTTCCAGAAATAAATGTTGTCCATAACAAGTTAAAATCTGAAACACTTAACTACAGGGCATTTAACTCCCAAATTGACTTTATATGAATTTTATCTACTTGTGTGTAAGGAAAAGTAGAAATTTTAAATCAGTATCTATTGATTGGTTACTGAATTTTAAACTATATTCTTAAGGGGAAAAATCTCGATAGCAGATCAAACCTTTATAATGTACTAATAAAGAGTGGAATATTAATTTTTTAATTCCAAAATTTTGTGATAACCAAATTATTTGAATGCCACAGAATAGCAAATGTGTTCTTGAGCTCTGATTGGTTATTCCAAATTTAATGAAAATTAATAATGATCAGTTTTTCATCTATCTGTGATATTATATAAGGGTGAGAATTTTTTTAATGCATTTCTCAAAATTTCAAAAAATATTTTTGTATTGGTGGTGTTCTGGGGCTCCAGGAAGCAGCTGAGAGGTGGGCATTCTGGTGGTTGGATGATTGTTGTGATTGAGATTCCAGGGTTTTCTCCCAAATGTAATCATAGCACTTATGTAATGTTAAACGTATTAGGATAACTTTTGGGGGTGGGGGGTTTCTTACACTTAGAGAGAGACCTTATGGGGGATTTGGTGCATCATTTAATTTTCATATTTATTGGTAGCGTATTTGCAATGCCATGACTAAAGCTTTTAGTGTTTTCCATTTTCTTGATAAGTAATAGCTTTAGTAATAGTTTGTGTTTTAATAGTTCAAGATAATATCATGCTTCCGGTCAAACACACACACACTGCCTCCTCACTGTGGTAAATTGGAGCTATGATCTGGCTATTTCATCCTTGCTCATGGACTCTTATATCTGTAATAAAGTCTCTTATAATACTGTGGGATTCTTAGAGGGAGACAGTGCTTCAGGAGTACGAAGTTAGAAAAGGGGAAATGGATAGCATTTTGAATATTCTATCCTTAAATCAAGAAAATTGTTACAAGGAACTTTTCAACCAGGAGAGCCAGTTTCTGTCCCACAGAAGTCAGTAGGAGTCAGATTGGGCAATGAGTTCTTTCTGTATCGCGTCTGTCCATGTTCCCTGCCTTTTTTTTAAGTGTTTTAAAATATGCTCCATAAAGGTAGGGAAACTTACTACTACACAAATCAACCTTTTTTATCAGTTGCCCCAGCATGTATATGAGCCACCTATCTTTTAATCCAAACATATATTGGACTGCCCAGAAACATATTTATCTGCCACCAAGATGTTTGCTAAGTCTTACTTTAATACACCTGTACAATTTGAGGCAAATTTAATAAATTCCAATGCCATATCATATCTTTGATCTCCCACACCACTAACTTCAAAGAGGCCTGTGTGGCCTCTGTGGGGACTGAGTGGATTGAGCAAGTAATTTGAATTTTAGCTTGAGTGCTAAAAATAATTTGTTTGGCTTAATTAAAAATGAATTTGCACCAAAGTCACCAAAGAACCATTATGAAAATGTTATAGTTGTGATGGAAAACAATAGACATAAGGAAATTAATTTCACTGTTTTAGGTGATTCCCCCTTATGTAACAGTTATGCCTAATAACTAGTTGGCTTTGTGCCAAAAATACCATAAATGAATGCATAGATTGCTGTTTCATATATTCTCTAATCAAAATCAGTGTTTCCTTATTCAGTTACTTAATTGTTAGTAGGCCATCTGGCAAAATGACAAATCAATTAAGGTTTATAATTTTTTCTTAGTCTTGGGGATACTGGTTCATATTCCATAAAGAAAAAAAAGTTTTAAGGAGGTAAAAAATGGTATCAAATAGCCTTCTGTTCTGTTCTTGGTTTGATTACAGAATTTAGTGAAAGATTAACTGATGCATGAGATATTGTATCACTGATTGCTGCTGCCCATCACAGTGCCTGGAGTAATGATGACATTGTCAAATATTCCAACCACCTGGAGCTATGAATGTAGAAACATTTTATGCTCCCCCTTTCCCCACCACCCCGTTCTCCCCTTTACTCTCCTTCCTCCTCCCCCATACACATACCTTCTCTTTGTGTGTGGCATTGTCCCCTGTACATTCAAGATCTTCCAGTTTAAAGTTATGTTTTCATCAATGTTTAAATCTCCTTTGGCTAATATGTTTAAAGCCCATAAGTTTGCATTCCATGTGCTCCTTTCCTCTTAAAGAAGAGAATATTTTCCTTGAACAAGTAATTTAAAAAGATAAATTTTCTTCACAGATTTAAACAAAAAACAAAAAAAAATGCAATGTAGCGTTGCTTCTTAGTATCAGGTTGCCATTTTGATTATTGTATAAACAATTACAGTTACACTGCTTCTTGGGTTTTAGAAGTGTTCCAGTTTAGATGCAGACCAGTGTCACTCTGCACCATTGCTTCTTAATTTTACTTCCTGTATTCATTTATTGGAGTTCAAAAATAAATTAGCTTGTTTTAAATATTACCCAAGGAATTCAGCATTTGCTGGTTACTAAATAGGGCTCAATTCTCAATTTTGACACACAGGCAGGCGCTGTCTTCTACTTTGTAAAATCAGCTATTGCACTTATTCTCCCACCTGAGTATCTAAGATGAAACCCGAGCCTTAATGTTAGTAGCTAGTTATTGATGGGTAAGCACTAGCTACTAGTTTTCCACAGCAATGTAAAGCACTGATGTTTGCAGAACTTCTATTTCAAGGATAATACAGCGAACTGGAAATGTAGCAATGCAAGCTTAAAGCGATTAAATTTCTAAACGGGTTCCTCATTATTTTGGCAGTGTATTCCCAGCTTTTGAGAGCAGCAATAACATGCTGCTTATGTGCAGAAGGGCCTATCATTATGCAGAGGAATACTGAATTCCTGATGCATTTTAAA